TATTTTTAAGTATTAATATATAAAAATTAATTTAAAAGCACCCCAACCAAACAAATCAATATATATATATATAAGAATTTTTAGTTGTGAAGTAACAAAAGCAAAAGGTTTGTCCCCCCAAAAAGCTATTTCGATGTAAGACTACCTTTTGCTCATTGATGTTTTATTCGCAATGAAGGGTTGGATTTATAGAGACGCCAACTTGGAAAAATCTTCCACTCTTTTTTACGTTCATACAAATCCTTTTTTTCCTTTTTATGTATATAATATAAACAATTTAAAGGTGGTAGATTTAAATATAAATTTGAAGGACATTTCTACAATCTCATCCTATCTCACATAATATATTAAATATAATCTCATCCAATCTCACATGATATATTAAATATAATTACATAGAGTATCACTGGATGATTTTTAAATATAACAATTGAAATGTGTTATTAGGCATAGTATCATTATTTCAACCATAAAATTTTGTAAATCCTACTTATAACAATTTTATAAAAGTGAATTGCATTTTACTTGATTATTGATAAAAAAAAAATGGAGTTATTAATATTGAGACTATTTCTCTATTAATAGTTAATTATTTTATAATTCACACAATATTTTATGTAAATTTTTTTTTGAATGGGTTGCAATTAGGAGACGAAAGATTTGAATCCAACTTTAAGAGTAAATATGTGTTTTATGACTAAACATATAATTATCAAATGTAAATATTTTATGTAAAATTTAAACAAATATGATGGTAAGTTTTATGTTGACCTAAAAAAGTATAAAAATACTTGTAAAATTAATTAAATACTTTTAATAAATAAACAAGCAAGATGTGAATCATTGATAAATTTGTAACTACTTGAAGGGCATTTTAGTCTTTTGGAGCAGAAGGTGTTAGAAACTGAGCACGTTTTGGATTTGGGCTGTGTAGTTTCTTTCAATCCGTACTGATTTGGAGTGTAACATGTCATGAAAAAGAAAAAACCTCTGAAGGAGATGGGTACTGGGAAAGTAATCTTTTGTGGTTTTGGGTTTTGTTTTGTTCCCCACTGCAGACTGCACTGCACCGGCTTCAGGTTGGTACAGCCATAAAAGCTGAAAAAACTTTAAAAGCCCTATTTCTTTCCTAGTTTCCTTTACCACAGTTCATCCCTTATATGATCCTTTTTTAGATCTTTTCTGTATCTGCAAGTTGATGCTAAGTTTATTACCAAAAGAAAAGTTGATGCTAAGTTTTTCACATCATCTAGCAAGCCTACATTTTTTTGGGTATCCATCATTCCATCCATCTTTAAAGAGAACATACATGAAAAAAGATCTGTCCTTGTCTTTTCTTTTTTTTTTTTAAAGAAGTGGGATGAAAATTTTTTACTTTGTTTCTTTCGTTTTCTATCCTTTTTGTTGCTAGATGTCTTTTATGTTGTTTAGTTATAGTAAGAGTTCTTTACTCTCCTACTTTAGCCAAGCATAGATTCTTGTTCTTTGTGTGCATTGCAATCTGAGGACTTTGTTGAGCTGATTTTCTGCATTGATGTGCTCTGATCTATTGTGGATTCTTTGCTCATAAAGGGTTGGTGCTTTATTTGTCTCTCTCGTTTTCTTTCCCTCTCAGTTTCTTAGGGGCCTTTCACTTTCATGTAATTTTTTTTTAAAGGTTTTGGATTGGGTGTAACTGGTGCAAGCTAGAGTAGCTGATGTAGATTGAAGGCTTGTATTCCATTTCTACCCCTGTTATGGTGATTATAAATGGAGATTCTCTCAATTTGATTTTTCTTCATTGCAGCGCAGGAGCTTGCTCTAATCATTACAACAAGTGTTCTGCATAGTCTAACCGTATTATTGAAGCAAAATTTGCTACAATAGTTCTACCGTCCACTATGAGCTCCAGTGTGTCTTTTTCCCTGTTGGGTATTGTTGAAGTACTGATTAAGTTATTTGAGCCTTCTGAGTCTTATGAAGTGAATTTTTTTGAGCTGTTTGCAGGTAGTCATGCTACTCCAACAACTAGAAGAACATTTGAGTTTGGGAGGACACATGTGATCAGACCGAAAGGAAGGCACCAGGCTACAATAGTGTGGCTGCATGGGCTTGGCGACAAGGGTGCAAGGTATAAATGTTAGACTTTGATTGGTGTCATCTTGCTTGAACTGGTGTTCTGTGGTGCTAATTTTTAGAACTTAGAAGTTATAGCTAGATTCATGCTACTTTCTTATAAGTTTGTAATTGCAAATCACTGTGCTTTTGCATTCTTTTATTTGTTCATGGATTTTATTGACAATTTGCACAAGTGCAAGTTTAAACATTCGGTAATCAGCTACATCATTGTGTTTATTCAATATTTTTTCATGCTTTGTCTCCAATGTGTGGTTTCTCTTGGTTTTGAGCATATGCCTTGTGTGAGAATGTTGGACTTGTTTTCTTATATAAAAGTAAAATGAGTGGCAAAATGGCAATATGCTGTCCTATTCTTGTGGAGAAGTTTTATTTTCTTCTAACTTTTTTGACATATCTGTCCCTATCTGGGAGATTCTTTGATTCGATGATTGATTTCTAATGGGGGAGAGTTATGGTGTTCTGAACTCAATAAGAAAATATTAGTTCTTGATCATTCCCCTCAAGGAGTTCTAAGCAGAGTTAGGGCAATCTTGAGCCAATGCTTAAAATAGGGGACCACTTCACTAGGTTTTTGTCCTTTTACTTTGGAAGATAACGTTATATGATTCATGAATCATATAATATTAATGACTAAGTAGTCATTTGTGTTTTTCTAAAATATGGTAAATGTACATCTTTCTGTGACATTTATATTTATATTTTGTCACTTTGTATGAAATGTTACCATGATAGTGATCGCTAAGGCCATTGTTGAACTTGAGTGTGGTCCCTGAGGAATTTGGTTTACTTAAAAGTTCCTATATCATATTATAATATCCTAGTAGCTTCTTTACTCCTGCTACTGGTGCTATTTTAAAATTTTTAAGTGTTTAAACGTCCCTGAGGTAATTTAGTGATGATTGAGGTGGATTCTCAACCTTTCTTTCTTGTTTTGCAGCTGGGCTCAGCTATTGGAAACTCTCCCTCTTCCAAACGTAAGGATAAGCCATTCTTTTGTTGCAGTTGCTTCAACCCATGTTTTAGTGAAACATGCACTACTTGTCCAAATCCTTCTTTAACTAGACTACTTTTTCCGTTGGAGAAAACCTTATCTCACGTTTATGTTGAAATTTTTTTGATTATTGTAGATTAAGTGGATTTGTCCAACTGCACCAACTCGGCCAGTAGCCATTTTTGGTGGATATCCATGCACGGCTTGTAAGATTTTATTGCTTCAACCAGTTGCTTTTCTTATGTTTTGAGAAGTTAATTCTGCTATCAAATTTATTTATGAATTGTTTATTTACTACTTGTGTCAGAAATGAATAACTTTTCTCCTGTAAGGAATATAGTAAATACAGTTTCTGTGATCTATACAGGGTTTGATGCAGGAGATCTGTCAGAGGATGGTCCTGATGATTTGGAGGGGCTTGACGCTTCAGCAGCACATGTTGCCAATCTGTTGTCAACAGAGCCTGCTGATAGTACGATATTTCTCCTAGTAGCTTTTAGAAATCTAGTCATAGATTTAATTGCCTTGTGCTCACCCACTGAAACAATCTCAATAGCTAGATGGGTACCATATGCTTCTTTATGAGTTTCAATACCTAGTTCTGAGGTTTTCTGAAACTTTTCAACATTTCTTTTGTTTGAAATAAGACTAAATGAACCATCAAAGAAGAGAGAGGACTAAATGGTGGAATATATGTCTCATTATTTCTCCAGTTATCAATATAATTAAATAGGACAGGTGAACTTAATGTCACTTTTTGCTTACAGATACATGTGTTTTTACTATATATCTTCACTCTTTTGGTTTTCATTTTTCTTGTTTCTTTGAACTGAATGAATCCATTGGAACCAAAATTGTCTTTTGGCGAGTCATGTATATTATGTGTTACTCTCTGCTCCATACTTGTCCTTTAATGGGTATGTTTGCATCTATACATTGATTTTTCATTACGTCACCTGTGAAAAGTTGCAACCTGCTTAATACTTCATAGGAAACTGCCTTTCACAATTAGATATTCATCTTCTGAAATTTCAAAATCTAGTAAGTTGATCTAAAAACAGCATAAAAGAAAAAACATTATAAAATTATAGGAGGATGCATATCTTCTTTCTGCAAGGTATTCACTCTTTTAACTGCTTTCAAAAACTTGAAATCTTTTCTTCTGAGTTTTTTTCTCAACTGACAAATAGTTAAATGCATGTAATAGTTGGATTGGGGCATTGGTGGAGGGAATGGAGAGAACATGTTATGTTCTCTTCTCTGATGCTTGTATGAAGACTTAACACTATCATTATTGTGCAGTCAAACTTGGAATTGGTGGTTTTAGTATGGGTGCGGCCACTGCACTATATTCTGCCACATGCTGTGTATTGGGACACTATGGGAATGGAAACATGTATCCTGTCAACCTAAGTGCAGTTGTTGGTCTAAGTGGCTGGCTTCCATGTTCAAGGTTTGGTTTCTTCAGGCATGAGAAAATAAGTTCATTCATACAAAGTGATGTAAAGTATACTTTTCCTGCACTTTATTTTGTTGTTAAGTTATTGATTCAGCTAGGGTTTATATTCAGGACCTTGAGGACCCGTATTGAAGCATCAGTTGAGGCTGTTAGGCATGCGGCATCCTTTCCTATTCTGATGTGTCATGGCTTAGGTAGCCTTCTCATCTCTCAACTTGCTGACAGAATGCTTTAGTTCCTTCACCATCATTGTGTGTGTGTGTGTTTTTAAGAACACTCACTATCGTTTAGTTATTAAGTCATGTAGGTGAGCTGGTAAGCTGTTGAATCATGTATTAGATGCTTACTATAGTCTATGGTGCATGGTCTACTTGTATACATGTTAAAGAAATTTCTTAATAAAGACCAAGTTCACTCCTGTATTCCTATTGCAGGTGATGATGTGGTTGCATATCAACATGGAGAGAAATCGGCCCAGGTTTTAAGTTCAGTTGGTTTCCGAAACCTTATATTCAGAACCTATAATGGGTATTTCACCAGTTCCCTTCTATCAAGAGCTTTAGAGTCACAGACACGTCATTTATTTAGGAGTACTATTATGAATGCATCATATTTACATGCAGGCTTGGTCATTATACAATCCCAGAAGAGACAGATGAAGTCTGTAGTTGGCTAACTACAAGGTTGGGGCTTCAGGGGTCACGATCTTAATATCAGAAAAGATTACAAGGCAATGCTGAGTGCAGAAGCACTTTACTTGCTTCCTGTGTAGAAAGAGGTAATCTAGAATATGGATCTTTGGTGTGGGGTATAAGGTAATAGCTGCAATTTCCACTTCTGATTCTCTATAATGCCAGTTTCCTCCATAAAAGTTTCCCGCTAAGGGTAGTACTCTTATTTAGTGGTTGCTAGTAATGGGTTGAAGAAATTTCTGTTCTCTAGGTTGGATCCAGGGCAAGTCTCAATCTGGGAAATTTTGTTTCTTGACCGAATTATGAAGCTCAAAATGTACTTAGTGCACAAGAAAGGAATGAGATGAGCTCATTTTTCATTTTTGTACTACATTGAAACTTTCCTCAGATTATGAGGTATTTTCTTATTTTCAAAAGAATGCAAATCATGTGACAAGCCTCTTTCTGAGTTTTATTCACCATCCAAACAAGTTTCTCCCCAGTCCCCAGTACCACTTACAACACAGTCAACAATGGTTGACCATGCACATAAACTACAGTTGAAGAAGATATCTTTAACTGGAAAATGCTATCTTAAGCCTAGTACAACATTATCCAACATAATGGTGAAGTATGGTATGCTGAAGCAAGGTAAGAGAAGGGATTCAGGTGCAAGTATTCACACATTATATTGCTAAGTAAAGATGCAACAAAGACAAACCCAAATTGTAGTTTTGAGAGCCGGCCAAAAAAATTTGAAGCTTTAGTAAGTAACTATTGCTACCATTTTCCTCAAAATTGCTCTTTGTTTTGAGAGCTGCTGCCTTTCAAATCAATGCAAGGCGTGAGAGGGGGAAGGTGGAAACTCACTTGCCATTGAGGAACTTACCTTAACAGGTGCAATGGGGTTGGTAGTGTCTTTCAAGATGTCAGGCATTTCATCTTCCAAGATATCGTAAGGTCGACCATGAGAGCTAAACCCCTGAAGATTTTTTATCTCATCTGATTGAGACATTGGTGTATTCAATGAAGTATTCCATTGAGGGGAAAGAGTAGTTAAGTCCTTTACCGTAGACGATGCTGAAAAGGCCATGAAAATTGAAGGATGACTTGGCAGTGGACTATGATCATGTATGTCAGTAAGTGTATCAGCATTGTTGTAATCCATTTGTCGACTAAAAGAACTATGACCCAAAATTTGTTTCCCTGTTTCCTGAAACAAGCCATTGCCATCAGCATTTTTTAGAGATCTCAGACGTTTTACATAAGATGATGGGACTGTAATGCCAGATGGGGGTGACACAAGGCATCTCCTGGAGAGAGGTCCAGATTTTGGTACATCTTTTGCATGGCTAAATAAATAAATAAATAAAAGGAGGCTCATCAGCACATAAACCAAAAAAAAAAGAAAAAAAAGTTGAATTGGAATATCAAACAATTCTTGTGTTGTATTAGTACATCATAATCATAGAGATCTTACTCTAAGTAGTAGAATGAAGGCGGCATGGGTGTGAGATGGTGCAGATCAAGTGATCCTGTTCCTAGTTTCTGCTCAAGTGATACTGCCCTTGTATCTTCAGTGGCTCTGTTGCTTCCCATTTCTTCAGTCACACCATAATCTGGAAAAAGGAAGAATTACGATTACTCTTAACCACTTACCTACCAATGGAAACTGATTTCTCATTCCCTTCAGGGAACCATTTTACATGCATAATCTAGAAGAACTCACCTTCCTTCCTGCCAAAAACATTTTTACATCCGTCACATCGACATGCGCTGGAGCAACCAACTTTGGCCTGTTCAAAATAGAGAGGATTAATGAGTCCTGTGATGACAAAACTGAGGCAAAAAAACGTAAACACAGTTCAGGCTTCAGAGAGTAATAACAATTATCTACCTGGTAGCATTCACAATACTTTTTCTGACACATTGACTTCTTGCAATTGCACCCTTCTTTGTGCCTTCCTGAGGATTGTTTCATCTTATTTCCATCTTCCTGTGGAGTAGAAATGCAATGATAAAGTTTCCAAGCAAGAAAGACAAAGCTAGAAAGAGAGATGTTTTGTACACTGCTTATGATCTTGGGAGCAAACGCCAAAGGATTACGAGATTCAACTTGTTGCCTTGACCCAAGAACTGTATCTTCGTATTCAGGTCTGTTCATGCACCATTTGCAAGCACAATTTCCTTCACAAAAGATCCCAACAGCAAAACAAGCACAATAGCTGCAAATAAACAGACAGGAAAAAATTAACACCTGGTCCAATAATAGCATTTCATATGATCTTGAGCTCCATTAAATGACTGAAATATTTAAATTCAGCTTGAAGCTCAACAAATAGGAAACCAATTGAGTCACTTACAGTTTCAAGCATTTGGTCCTTTTGCAATTACAACGTTTGCAATCCTGATCGGAAATTGTGTTTGATGATTTCTTCCTAAGAAACATAAAATATTCATTCAGCCTTCCTGGCATATGGAGCAAAACCAAGAACCATCAAACTGTAAGAGATTTCAGACATACTTGCCTTTTCTTTTTAGTGCTTTGTTGGTTAAACTCCTCACAACCCTCTACATTCTCTGAGTTAACATCCGTTTTTGCGTGTGGAGTCGAATGCTGCTCAATTAGTTCCATATTGTGGAATGACTCGGAAGTTTTAGAACCTTGTACAAAACAAGGCCTACCATAAAGTGTTCCACCCCCTGGACTGGCTGAAATTTTGTCAACTTCAGTTGACCAACACTTCATGGTTTCCAGATGATGGTAGTTTGTGACAGATCCCAAATTTGATCCTTGCATACACAAAACATCCGCTTCTAGTTTCATGCTTTCCGTTCCACCACAATCCATTTGGGAAGCATTAGCAGTGCTGTTAAGTGGCAAGCCAGTGGCTGGTATCTTGGGAACGGTGAAGAGAGAATGATCCGGGCGCATGGTTGTCACATGTTGGGAGGAGTTACCTAGCTGCTTGTTTCTGCTTGTTATTAATGAACTCAAATTCTCTGTCCCTGAAGTTGTGCAGAGTGGTCTTGAATTAGTAACTTGAGTTGCTATATTTGAAGAAGTGGTGTAGTTTCTTGTAATCGTGGGACGTTGTTCTCTAAATTGGAGGCAAGGCCTTGTCATACCATTTTGATCTTCACTGGCCTACAATGACTGTAGCAATTATTCAACTCCAAAAGAAAAAGCTAACAGAATTCATTGTTAAAATGAAATTGAAGTATATCAACAGCTAATTTCTCCTTAAAATAACAAACTGGTCGATTTACCCTTGCTAAATTCATATTGCACCATTTGAATTTTAAGCATACCTCAACATGCTGCACCATATTATCATCAATGTTGTCATATGCCTGAACACAGCACAAAGGATCAGGGAGCATTTCATTGGAGAAATTGTACCTACTCTCATGTTTATACATGCCCTGCAACTTAAAATTAGAAAATTAAAATGTGCATCTTCTGCAGTGAGAATATACCATAATATTTATGAGAACAAACAACAACAACATCAATGGCTAGCTAACGAGGACAAAAGAATTACCTGAACCCCAGAATCTGAACATTGTTGTTCATTGGAAGCAAGTTGGCTGTGATCAGAGTCAGGTACTTGGTGTGGGAATTCATTATGTAGCCACTCTGTGCAGGTACCTTTGTCCTCTCCATTTTTCGTTGGTTTGAGATCAAAGCTTGACCCTTGTTCAAGGCTCTGTTGAGCTTGTGGACACAAGGACGAGGCTCCATCAACATTGGTCCCTGTGTCATTTCTCTTGCCTGACTGAGGTGATGTCAATACAGGAGGACTTCTAAAAGAATTAGACGAAGGGGAATCCTGGAATCAAAGTGCAAAATAACAAAATACGAGACATATAAAATTCATGATTTAACTGCAAAATTCTGAAGGGTCATTGAGGGTAATGGTTACTTGAACAGGAGAAGCAGCAGGGGAAGTTAAGGTGGCTGCAGCGGTGTTGTTTGCTTCAAGGGAATCCATAGGTTGACGCCCTGAGACTGAAACTAGGAGAGACGGCATCAGCTGGGGCTCTCTAATATATCTCCTGAAAGCAGATATTGAGAAAAAGAAACAGTGATTCTCTCCTTTTTGTAAATTTTTTTAGAGAGAGAAATGGAGATAGAATTGAGAAGCGTAAACTAAGATGGCGGAACTTTGAACACCGAGCGGGAACATTGCCTTACATGTGCTTCTCAATGTCCAGAACGGCTACATTCCTAACACGATATCTACACATCAATCATATTGGGAAGATTTTATCAAAAAATTATTTGGAAATAAC